CAAGACACAACAGCTTTCCAATCGGTTTTCATACCATAAAAACCAAAACATACAATATAATCAAATGTATTTATAAATGTTTTTTTTTTTTTTTTTTTTTAATGATGTGGAGTCTTTGTAATTGGCTCTACTAGCAATCGAGTATGAATGGAAATCTCTGTAAGGAGCAGTTAATTAATAGGAAAACAAATGTTCTGAGGTATGTTATTTGTTTTGCCAAGACGGCAGCTGTAGATTTATCTGGCATGTTCTGCATAATTTACATATTTTAAGCTCCGCTGCCATCTTAAACAGCTGAAGTGTTTTGCATCAGATGGAGTGAATAATGCCTTGTCAAATTTTTCAGTCAGACTGAGGCTCACAAAATGCATGACAAGCCACCAAAATTGAGCTTGTACAGCAGAAACGCGCCCACGGGAGCAGCACCCCTCTGGTTTTGCTACATTTTCTGAACCACTGGTCGAGACGCATTGCCACAGCCCATTAGAAAATTTGCAGATGTGTGTGTACTCTTAAAGAAACACATCTCTCATCCCCACAGCACTTTCTTCTGCCTGCATGCTCCCATCCCACTTTGGCCGCAGGAAGAGCGGCAAGAACCTGCCGCCCCTGGAGATGTCAGAAGATTCTGTATCTCTGTAAGTATGATATTCTGCACCACACAAAGAAAACAAAAGGCTGACATGGTTCTGCAGTATTTGAACAAAAAGAAGCTGCAAGGGCGAAAAAAACTACCTATTTGTATAATGTATATATTATATATTAAAAAAAAGAAATTAAAACATGTTTTAAATGGAAAATATATACATTTTTGTTTTCATTTCAATTTAATCCAATAAGGTTTACACTAAAGCAGCCTTGAGGAAACTTGTTGGAATACAACAAGCATTTTGAACGAGTGACCTGTAACATATTCTTGTTGAGTATAGACAAAAAATAAAATGAATACAAATCTATGTAAAGAAAATGGAATACTACAGATTAAAATAGAAAACTACAGATTAAAATAGAAAACTACAGATTAAAAACATTTTGGACATTGTGCATCTCTTTTAGCAATGCAATTAATTCTTGCAAAGCCCACTTACGCTTTACAAAATCATCAATGATTTACAAAAATCACTTTTCAACAAAAATTTGATTGTGTTTTTAATTTCTTTAAATTTTATGGGTTTAGTTTATGTTTAATTTGTAATAATAATAAGTTAAAATGTTTGCATTTTTCAACCTGATAATTTTGGCCTTTATGGAAAAAATAAGCACTACTGCTTTAGGGTATGCAGGGAACATACATGCATTTAGCAATGCTTCCTATACCAGTTCTAGTAGCTAGTAGATGATGAAAACAGCTTCCAGTTTTAACTCTTGAATCACTTAGATTTTGTTTTAATTTTGTTTTAAGTGTGATCGTGCTAAGCTGCAGAGCTGTGTAACACCAACTGCTCTCTTTCTCACACACCCATACTGTGATGTCAAATCTAACGCCAATATGACAAACAAATGACAAAGTAGAGAATAAAGGCTCTCGTTGCTATTTATAGAACTTGAGAAACTAAAATCAGTTTCTGCAGGTCAAAGCTTCAGTCTGCTATATAAAATCTGCAACTGCTGCATCACTGGAACAGATAAGATCACGTCCAGCTACTGTGGTGACTCCAAGCAGCTAAAGAATGCAGAGCGTGTAAGATTTGACTTTCCATGAGCAATCATTGATCCCTCAGAATCTCCTCACTCTCCAGAATGGTTCTATGAACATATATCTGGCCGGATGAAAGCCAATGAATGGCTTCAGGGGTCCTGCATGCGGTACTACATCATCCTAGACTCACATCATTTCAGCTTTTCAACGTACCAGATAGAGAGATGCCCACAGGCAAACATTAAAGCTCTATTTTACATCTACTTTTAGTTCATGTAGGTTTCAAACACCTCATATCTCCTTTTAGATGTATTGCTGTTGAAGACGTCAACCCTCCCGTCAAACAATTAATCTGAAGGAAAAAAAAAGAATTACATATGCTAATTTGAGTGACAACATACAAATGAGCTTTTCTGTCTTCACAGAGATCCAGCAAATCCCCACAAAATCACTCTGACACAGTCATTGTGTTAGCAAATTCAGCCTCTATTCAGTCGGGGGAATCAGTGAAGCTGCCATAACATTTTCCCTTTTGAAACTGTAACGACAGTTTTGGGTCTGTGGCTTCTTTACGAGAGTGGGAAAATTATTCACAACCCTCAAATGCGATAGGACGGCTCAAGATGCACAGTAAATGTGATATGGAGTGCAGTTTAAATTGATTAAAGTGAGAGAGAGAAAGAGAGAGAGAGAGGGGGGAGGGATGCAGAGAGGGTGGCTCTCCTGGTAACTTCACGAGACCATAATCTGTGGAAGAATCAAACCCCGCAATGTACTGTAGACAAATTTAGTGGCAATCCTGGTGAAGTTTAGCAAAAAGCCTAAAATAACGAATATTTTACTGCAATAGGATGATCTCACACTGAATTAAAACAAAATATAAATTGAGAACAAATCTGTCTGCATTCAAGGTTGGGGAAACCCACTAGAAGTGCATGTATTATTTATAAAGCCTGGAGATAAAATAGCTTCCCAGCCAAATCAGAACTAGCTTTACAATTCCCATTTGAATTTACAGAATTTGATTTGATACGAAGACAAAGACAGAAATAAGACCAAGTCTTACTCCAAGTGAAGAGGTGCACACAAAGAACTTGGTTGATGCATCTTAATTACAGTTGGGTTAATTGTTTTTATCTCTTATCTTACATATTCAGTAAGATCGTGAATATGTCAGTGTCAGTTACGTCAATATTCACAAAGAGAACTAAAAGATATTTTAAACCGTAGTCAAATCATCAGACTACTTCTTAGTCATATTTGTTCTGTGATAAAGATGTGAATACAAAGACGAGACAACGTTTCTGTGAATTTAAAACCAAACCAATATGCTTTTGGCCTGCAATTCCCAAGCTGTGAGAACAGAGAGCAGGAAACAGACATTATTTGTTTTTATTGTGTGCATGCATGTATATCGGTGTGTGCGTCCGAGCGTGTGTGAATGTGTGCATCTTGTTCATGGCAAGAAATCAGCTCAGTTTAGCACATAATGGAAATGTGAATCGCCCTGAGCGCCATTCTCCCACACAGGGAGCGATCTGGCTGGGAGCTGGCTGCATCCTTCCAACTCTAAACAGTGAAAGGGAGTTAGCTGGGTTAAAATCCTGCCCCCGTCTTTGTTCCTCCCCGGAGCGGTTCACAGCTTTGCCCATACATTACTCAAACAGGTCATCCAAACAGGTCTCGCTAGCAGCCTGAAAAACAGATTCACACACATTCTCACGCATTGAGCACACACACACACACAGCGGGCGCGCTGGTAGGTTCAGTCGAGAAGGTGAAGCTGCGTGGATTATGATAGATGACACCTTCGATGGATCCTGTAGCACAACTGCCCCAAAGTGTTATGCTTAATTTAACCGGAAGTCTACCTTTTCTCAATCCAACATTTACACAATTTCACATTTTCATACACCCCATAAAAGGTCACTTCACTCTACCATTCCTCCACAATACAACTCGGACACCTGAAAGAACCGTTTCGACCAGAGGAAGACAACGGAATATCAAACTTACATGCCACCTCCAGGGAAGCATTCCTACTCACGGCCTCTCCCAAATAGTTGCGGGCGATGCACACATAGTTGCCGTCATCTGGTTTGCTGCGTCGTCCGTGAACGATGCGCAGGAAGAAGAGTGACCCGCTGGGCAGCAGCATTCGATGGGAACGGGGATTCTCGCGGTCCGTCTCAACACGCTCCCCGTCTTTGTACCATTCCACCGTGGGAGTGGGACGGCCTTCTGCTTTGCAGTTGAGGGTGGCTGGCTCGCCTTTCGATACGATAAGGTCAGAAGGGTGTTCAATGATTCGAGGAGGGGAGTCTTCCTGGCGAAGACGGGACCCTAAAAAGGAGACAAGAGAGTAAAATGTCCTGTTCAAGCAGTAGCAGAGGTCCTAATCCAATCTTGTAGCAACAACTAGATTAAGAACGCAATAAGGCAAGCTCTTTTATTAAAAACCCTTCAAATGTACTTACATTTTGCTACATTATTACCACAAACACCTTTATTTTGGGATTTTATATGAGCCAACACAAATCCTGCATAATTATTAAATGGAAAGGAAATGAGTGGTGCAAGAAGATCTTAAGTTCAAATCCCGACCTGGAGTCTTTTTGTAAGAAATTTGCATGTTCTCCCTGTGCATGCATGCGTTATCTCCGGGTACTACGGCTTCCTCCCAGAGTCCAAAAACATGACTGTTAGGTTAACTAGTTTCTCTAAATTACCCTGAGATGTGAGTTTTCCATCCTTTGTGGTCCAAGACGTATCCTGCTCAATGCTGGAGATATTCACCAGATGTGAATGCACATACAAGTGACAGTTGTGATATAAAGCTGTTATATTTATAAAATCTAGTTTCATGACTGTATAAAGCAGAATAAAAATAAGATTTTTTTTTTTTCAGTCAGTCCTTAAAAAGTAACTTGATGAACGTCAAGCTCTTCTCAGTTGAGAGTGGCTGTGTCACCACATGGAAGCTTCCATATTTACTTTCACAGATAAGAGCTGAAAAGTCATTACAACTCATTAGCTTTTCCATTAACACGTTTCGTCAGAAACTGACATCATCCAGCATGTTGTCTCAGCAGGTTCATTGCAGCGAATGCTGGACTACGTTTATCACTTTCTAACGTACCACCATGGGATAAACAAAATTTACACTTTTGTTTTATCTCTGACCTTTAGATTGATGGCTTGTCGTGCATTCCAACGCTTGTTTTTGACCGTTTACGGTTAAAAATCCCCATAAAAATGTCTGATCACAACTAAAAACAAGAATTCACAACAATACCCTTCAATAAGTCTAGAACAATGTTATTTTCCTCACCAGCAAGAGATTATGGAGGTGTATATACCGTTTCTCCCCTTCACAGCATATGAAGACATTATAAAATTTGCTCTGTGTGTAGGTGTGTGTGCAAGCAAACAAGAGGGTGATGTTTAAGCTGCTAAAAATTGACTTTTATAAGGCAATGTAATAAATAAGATATAAATACATGTTGACAAAAAGCATTCCATTAGCCAGGAACGCAGGGTGAACCAAGGTGACGTGTTTTTTTCTTCTCTAAATGCTTTTAAAACACTGTCTACAATACATCTTCCGCATTTGTGCAGATCCATAAATCATGCAGAAACAAACAGAGTTTCCTGCAATACTGACTTTGTCCAATATGTTGTCTGCACTGACATTTTTCAGACTGAAGCTGTCAGACGGTGGAATTTAAATGAGTTTATTAAAGTTGTTGGTGGCACACTGGCTCAGTGGTTGGTAACTGTCAGCCAACAGCAGGCAGAGCTTGTGGGGTCCTGTCAGTCTTTTAGTCCTGTGATGGACTGGCACTGTGTTAGGGGAATTTGACTGTTTTCTGCACGATTCATGCTCCATGCAACCCCCTGACCCTGAATGTAAATGAGCCAGGACAGAGCAGATAGATGGAGTTTTTTTTTTTTTCTAAATTATATCTGGATGAGTAACATCTCTGTCTTGCATGAACGAATATGATAAAAAAAGAAAGAAATTATATTTTTTATTCCTCTAACCCTTCTCCAAATTAAAAAAGCTGCCATGTAAAATGTTTTTGTGATAAAAGGGTGGGAGGACCCCTAGATGAATGCAAGCATTCTTTTTCTTGCAATTTTGTGTTTATGAGGAGCTGTCCGTGGTACTGAAGCAGAAAATCAAGGGCTCAGGGCAGAAAATGTGCTTCTTTAGGGTTTATAAGCAGGGGCACACTGATAAAAGCCAATTTAAAGTGACAGAACACCTTAGATAAATTTAACTTGGGTTTCTAATCCAATATATTTTTTTTTATTTTTCATTTTTTTGCTGCTGTTGTTTGAAGAGTATAACTAAAAGAGTCTATTTGCAAAGGCAATATAAGAACAAATTTAAAACCAACCAGATCTGAAAATGATAAAGTCAATATAACACCCTGCCTGTGTTTCAAAAACACATTTGTTTTCTCAGTGATCTTATCATCACTCTCTCCAGCATATCAAGGGTTATTTGCCTGAACATTGAATCACACGTAAATTACTTCTGACAATTTTGACCAAAGATGAGGAAGAAGTTTAAGCTGTACAAAAGGAGTTACGCATCTCTTCAGATGCAAATTTTTGCAAAAATAAAGCCTTGCAATCAACTCAGTGTTTGTTCTGACTTGTTAACATTCGACTTGGAATAAGGCGACTGGATATAGATGAGGACTGTGCTTTGAAAAACAAGAGGCCCAATCACGAGGAACAAAGCTCAACAGCAGTCAAACAACAACTGAAGTCTCAAAAAGGACCAAGCAGGTCAATCAACGTACCACGAAGCGACTGAGTATAACATTATGACCAGATTGTAGCCCCATATGAAACAGTGGACATTCTAACAGTACTTCAGCAATCCACACTATGATAGCTCATCTGCTGGACTGGAACTGCACAGGCCAGCCTTTGCTCCCCACTTTCATCAATAAACCTTGATGGTGGGTTACCACTCTTCGTTCCCTGAAACACTTTAGATACCCAATTTCAATTTACCTCCCCTGTTAGTGGTTATAATGTTATGCCCAACCTATCAAGTGTTCAGGCAGTATACCTCATTTTACGTCTACATCACTGAAGAATAATATTTATGAAGCCACAGCCTACAAGCACTTTCAGTTTCCAAAGAGTAAACTGTGCATCAATTCCATCGTTTCCATACCAGCTCTGAGTTCCTTTGAGTTTAATCTGACAATCAGACCATTATTTAGGCTACCGGGATAGTAAAACAAAGGTTGGACATAATTCTAACAGGATTGTAGACAAAATAATTTAAAAAAAAAAATCTATCAATAAAACACTTTTCTCCATAACATGTATAAAAAAAACACCTTAAATGAACTACTTCTACATGTCATATATGATTTAATTCCTGTGACAAATGAGTTTCCTGGAAGAGACCTCATGAATAAATGAGAGACTTTTGTCTAAAGAAGCCATTAAAGAGTTGGCCTACAGCAACATCCGACACCAGAACTGAAATCAGCCAACTATAACGCGCTGTGCGCTGGCATCATGGCCAATTCAGAAAAAGAAAAAAAAAAAACAAAACAAAACAAAACAAAATGATCTCTTAAGGCACCCAGTTTGTTCTTTCTGAGCTTCAAACTGTGTCTCAGGTCACATCCTGAACTCAAATCAGTTCACAATGCTAGGGGAAAAGATGTGATTAAACTTACCGTCGCTTGGGGTGTACAGAAGTCCACAGAGGAATAGATACTGTAGAGGACCCATTCTGGCATATTGGCCTCGTAAGCTATCAATGCAAGAATTCCTTCCAAAGCAATTCAGTCAGTCAGTCCCGTTTTCGTCTGTGCCAACAACTGTTTCGGCGCGGTGAACTAAAACAACCTCAAAAAAAAAAAAAAGAAAAAAAGAAAAAAAAAGAAGAAACAATTCTCAGCCACTAAAGAAGGGAGATAAGTCTCATTCATATGTCCGTTCCTCCTCTCACTCTCCAGTAAGAGCGCACCAGTGAGCTGAGCTCTCCCGACTCTCCGACACGCTGGCAGTTCCTGCAGTCACCAATTCAAACATCACCACCGACGCCCAAACCGACGCCTCTCCACTTCCCGACGGTTCCGCCGCCTCAACAGCATCCCCTCCCTGACGCCTCTGCTTCACCCGCTGCTCCACGCGAGGCGACCGGTCGCGTCCATCCCCCGCGTGGGACAAGTTGAGGGATGAAAGGTTGAAGATGGGATTCAGTCAGAGGTGAGTAGCTGTGCGCGCGCGGTGCGGGCGCAGCTTAGCCCCTCCTATCAACTCCCGTCGCCCAGGGGGGAAAAAAAATAGTAATAATATGCCCCACGATGATAATACGCACTATAAATTTCAACAATAAATCTCAGCGGCTGTAAAGATAATGAATAACAGCATGCTCAAGATGGGATATTGTTTTTAATTTATGTTTCTATCAATGAGTGCATCTTCCCCCCTTCATCTTAAATGCAAAATTACTGTACATACTCTCCCCGGCTATACGAGTTTACACTGTCACTACAACCAGCAGATCCAAAAAATTATTGTAAAAAAAAAAAAAAAAAAAAGTATGTTCTGTCAGTGTGACACCATGCCTTGATACAAATATTCTCAAATTTACTTTTATAAAGCTGATGCATTTTTTTAATTCCAGAAGCACTTGTATCTATGTTACACAAGTATTTATGTACCTTGAATTTTTCCACACTTTGTCACACCTAAAAGTGAATCTAACAAAATACAACCTAAGTGAAACATGGATAGTTTCCACACCTGGCAGTGTTTTGTTGGGGACCAGAATTGAAACATTTGTTACATTTTCAGCTGGAGCGGTTTGCTTTCACATTTACCCCCCTCGCCTGTGGGTGGTGCTGCAACAAGATCCACTGAAGGAAACACGAACAGACATTTCGGCGCAACTTCCTTCTTCGCAAAATGGAAATAAAAATGGATTGGCGTCAGTGTGGGATTTTCCTTTTGTCTTTTATCAAATGACCATGAGCCATTTCCTCCACAAACCTGAAAAAAACTCACGTTTGATTTGGTTGTATTTTACCAGAATGCCCTGCGTTTTAATCCGCTGCTTTTGGAGGAGTCTCCAAGTTCACGTGGCATTCACATGCAGCTACATCTGATCCGCCCAGAGTTCACTTCAAGCAAACCCAGACCTAGGTTTTTAGGTGGACCAGAGTTTGCTTCTTTTGGTCCTCATCATACTTAGACTGCTCATTCACATCTCCATAAACAAACTTTCGAGACAAACGAACCAGAGTTTGAATAAGGGGAATAAACAGGACTGGGGAATAAACAGGACTGGTGTGAAGGCACCCCTGATGGTGGGTATTATGCTGTGGAGATGCTCTTTTTCTCAAAAAAACAAAAAAAAAAACAAAAAAAGAAAACAAAAAACTTTATCTTGCTCTTGGCAATTAGAAAATCACAATAAAACACATTGAAGCTCGTGGTTGTAATGCGGCAATATGTGTAAAGACTCACTCTTGAATACTTTTTACAAGATACTGTATATAGCTTAATGTGGATATGCTTTCTGGGTACAATAATTTAAACAAACTTCACTCATCTTCATAGCTGACATTCATTTTTCTTGTTTATGGTCGGAAAAAGTCATTACAAAAGGCCACAGCTGTAAAGAAATGGCACTTCATTCCCCACCCACTGCCTGGGGTGTTTATCCTGATCCACCGTCAATTCGCTCAATATTGTCAATGGCATTATAAATGCAGTTTCCCCACAGTGAGATGAGAGGGAGATAGGCTGCATCAGGCGCCATCGATCCAAACGGTTCAATTAAACCATTTTTTCTTCTTGGTACTGCATTGACAGCAGCGGATCGAATAATAACCGTAGACAATGAGTGAAATGATCATGTGTAAAATGGGGTGTGAAGTGAGCACGGTCAGGTAAAGTGGATGAATCTCATTCCTCTTGCGTCATGGATCCAATATGTCACGACGGGTCAAATTTCTTACATCAAAATCTCTGTTTATATGGTTGTTTTCACCTCTTTGTCAAGGAAAATTTTGCCTGGCTAGCTCAAGCTCGAAAAACATGGCATAGAAAAGTGTGGAGTCCATGTGTGTTTCGTTGCTCTGTCATATTAAAATGCCTTCCTCTTCTACTTTGCATTTTCAAAGACACTCAGATTGGATGCAGAGCAGGTGTCATCAGCTATTTTCAAGTCTTCCCACATATGTTTGTTTTAATCTAAATCAGAACTTTCTTTCAGATGTTTGCTGTGTCACCTTTATATTTTGTGGTGAACTACAAATATACGCTGGGATTTTGTGTCATACCTAAGTAATATTATCACAGCTTTACTCTTGACCCATCTGCTCAGTCTTCATGATGCCATTTGTTCACTAATGTGCCCTTGCAAACTTCTGAGGCCTGTACAAAACAGGAGTTTTTATTCTAAGACTAAATTGCCACAATGTATACGCCACAGTTCTCAGACTTTTACTTACATTTTTTTTTATCACAATTACATTGAGGTTTGTGATTTTAATGTAATATAATTTGTAAAAGCTCAAAGTATTGTAGTAAGTAGATTGAAATACTGCTTATACTGATGTACGTTTTTAAGTTTTCGAATATTACATTTATCAATTTAAGTGATATAGAAGCACAAGATAGAGCTCTCATAAAATAAACCAGACCTGTTATAAAAACCTTAAAAAAAATAAAAAATCTTAAGACCAAACCAGATTTGTTTTAGCTTCAGAAAAATGCAATGACTGTTAAAATGTTAAAAATCCTGACTCTCATTTACAAAGCACCATCAGTTGAAAATGTGGGCATAATGCAGAGCTATTAAAGACTGAGTAACACTGGTTTTCATTTAGAAAAATTGCTTAAATTAAGTTCAGCATGTAAAGCTTGTTTGCATCATAATGTCTTTTGATAATGGGTGTCTAGACTATAGTAGAAAGAGAAATTTATACACTCAATGAGTTCAACTCGAAAGTTCAATAAGGCAACGGAGGCGGAGAAAGACCCATCCTCTAATCACACACAGAGACAGACGGGTTTCCAGGCACCATGGGATTCTGCTTCCTGTGTCCCACCGACCAAAATGAAAAAGGCTTAGTTACTGTCATCAATCTCGCCCTGGTCACACACAGAAGACAGTGTCAAGGTCAGAATTTTTGTCTGCACCATTACCTACGCGCAGCCATGTTTGCTCAAGCCAGGAGAGCTGGCGGTGACAGATGGTGTGTGTGACAGCGTGTTCAACACCAAGCATGGCCGGCTTCAATGAGAGCCGAGCAGACATGTGTCCTGAGCGCCGAGTCCAGACGTGCGTACAAGTGCCAAACCCCTGTCTGAAAGCGAGAGCTGCTTATCCCACAGGCACTCCCTTCATACTCTTCATATCTAAGCCAGTCTCCATAGAACAAATAAGAGAGGGCATCGTGTTTAGCATTTAGCTCAGTTTGTGTGTTTGTTTTGTTGCCATTTTAGCCTGAATGGAGATAGATGTCAAACCATCTGAAGGCCATAAACATGCAGCGTGCAGTAACTCACTACTGTGCTGACAGTCTTTTGCTAGATTACAGTGAGATCCAGTTAATCCAACTATATTTACTGTTTTGATGGTAAAAGGTTTTCTGGCTCAGAAAACCATACTATTGTTTTTTTTTTTTTTTTTTTTAGTTTTTGACGTTGAAACAATCCATCATCCTGAGAAAACATCTGATGACAGTTGAAAGGAACCACTTATTTCTAATGGGAAGAGACTTCCAGGAAAACCAGACTCGGCATGAACAGCTACCTGCCACAACTGTGAGCAGAATAAGTCACAGTCACATCCCCAAACCACAAAACCTCCGACTCTGCGCCTCAATGTTAGCATGAACTTATTTTTTCTGGAATACTGTATTTGGTTTAGACCAAACCTGTTCTTTGGTTTGGTGTCCAAATGATTAAACTTTAGGCCCCTCTTTTGGGGAAAAGAAAGAAAGAAAAAAAAAATATATATATATATATATATATATATATATATATATATATATATATATATATATTGATCAAATTATTCAATTATAAGTGACAATAATTGGTTTCCACAGGTAAAGGCATTTATTACGTTTGCTGCACCTTTCAGTTTTAAAGTGCTTGAAACAACCTTTTTGTGGTATAGGTTGTGGACACAAGGCATAAAACCCAAAGGAAAACTCCTGTCAACTAAACTCTTATTTAACTAACTGTAACTCTGAGGACCAAAAGTGTTCTTCAAATATCTGCAGTACCTCTGGGGGAAGTTTTAAATGACTACAAGCCCTAATTACACATCACCGTTTCACCTCCCAAGAAATACCTTTTTTTTTCTTCTTTTTTTTTTTGTCTCAGGTCATGGTTTGTGCTGTCAGTGCATTAATATAATTTTATTCTCTTGCACTGTTCAAATACGTTCCTCTGGAACTTCACGCTCCACAAATCACAATTGAACTCCTGACACACCTTGCAATAGTGAAGAGAAAAGAGTCCAATCTTTCCAAGTCCGCCGAAATGCTTTTGAAAGCCGAAAAGGCCCCCCCATTCAGACTCTGAAAGGAGCACTTTTGGGAGAGCAAGTGAGACATCTCTCTCGCAATACTTGGACACGGAGGAGACAGAAAGGGTTTGTGCTTAATCAGGCACAAAAGGCATTAACACCATTTGGTTTTCCTCTGGATGAGCAAGTAGAAACAAACAAAAAAAAAAAATAACAAGAAAACAAGGGAGAAAACGCTGAGTGCAAAACGAGGTACAATCCTGGGAAGCGGTGTGCACATAACATTTTCAAAATGGCAGATAATAGACTTCTTCCATGCGTGTAAACATTGCATTTCCATAGAAATGGCCTCTTTTCGTGTTTCAGACGGGCAGTCATGGATGAGAGAGTTGTGTGGCACTCACCTCTTAATCTAGTTAGATGCTACGAAAATTGCACCAGCTCTCCGGTTTTAAAAAGGACATAAAAATTGTGTCAGTGCAGGCAATTTAAATTCTGCACCAAACAGTGGGATACTGTCAATAAATGAGATCTAATTTATTTGAGAATCTTTGCTTTGCTGTCATTTTGCCAGAGTTTCTCTCAATGCTGTAGGGCCTGTAAAATGGACAAATGACTTTTTCTTTTTAAGTCACACCAGAGAGTTATGTGGAAATTCGTGTTTCAATTACGTCACGTTTGCATTTCTTTAATGTCGGAAATTGTAAAGTCAATGTGATTCAACACTTTGAAATTAAAAATGGAACATCTGAATTTGCACATTTTAAGACGTGTAAAAAGTAACAAATATATATTTTTTATTAGAAACCAATTTCACTATATATATCAGGCTAGAAAAGGTTTAATTTTCCACCACTCAGAATTTCCAAAGCTTTGCAGCAAAGAATGGCATCTGGTCACCAAGTGTCCATGACGACCACTGGATGATTTCAACATGCCAACCAGTTGTTCTGGAGGCTTGCATGTAAATATCCAAACATCTGGA